TTTTTTTTTTTTTTTCCAGCCTTCCGTGGTTTCTCTTTCTTTTCCTTTTTCAGCTCACTGGTACGATCCTGCTCAATTCACAAGTCAAGAAGCTTTGAGATGATGCAATACGTCACAACTCAAGAAGTGGAATTACTAATTAGACTTCTTTTTTTTTTCTTCGCCTTCCGTGGAAAGAAGAAGAATGAAGAAGAAGAAGAAGAAGAAGAAGAAGAAGAAGAAGAAGAATGAAGAAGAAGAAGAAGAAGAAGAAGAAGAAGAAGAAGAAGAAGAAGAAGGACACAAGTTCGGAGTTCATTGAACCAATGTTATCTCCTCCTCCTCCTCCTCCTCTTCCTCCTCTTCCTCCTCCTCTTCCTCCTCCTCTTCCTCCTCCTCCTCCTCCTCTTCCTCCTCTTCCTCCTCCTCTTCCTCCTCCTCCTCCTCCTCCTCCTCCTCCTCTTCCTCCTCTTCCTCCTCCTCTTCCTCCTCCTCCTCCTCCTCCTCGTCCTCCTCCTCGTCCTCCTCGTCCTCCTCGTCCTCCTCGTCCTCCTCCTCCTCCTCCTCCTCGTCGTCCTCCTCCTTGTCTCGTTATCATCATCTTCCTCGCAGAAACTTTTCCTCCTCTTGTAAACAATTGAATACGATAATAAATGAATGAACGAGTGACCCGGAATCGATGTCGCCAATTAGAATCCACCTTGAAGTTACAGCCAGCAGTGAGAAAACTCTCCTCTAGGCCTCACTCTCACCCCTCTCCGCAAGGCTGCATGTCGGGCTATGGCGACTCATCCAAGTCCAGCACGGATTCTGAACCGACAAGGAAGTACTATCATGCCATTCCCGTCTCATTCCGCCATAGCCACACCCTTAGTTGAAGTCCGCACCCGTCTCGTTCCACCATAGCCACACCTGAGTCATTCCACCATAGCCACACCCGAGTCATTCCGCCATAGCAAACATGGGCCTTCGGGATGCAGTGCCAACAAAGGAAGTGGAGATGAAGGTCCACCATAGCCAAAGGTACGTCGCTCTAGTCTAGTTGGTTCCATCCTCCTTACTCCTCCTGGATCTCTACTCACCTCTCCCACCCACCTTCATGGCCTAGCTTGAGGTTCTCTCCCCTTACCTCCATAGCCGTGGAGATCTTCTCTCTCACCCTCAGCTCCTCCTCCAATTCAGAGCTCCGCCTAACTCTCCCTCAGGGTGGAACAGCACAGCACCATGAGTGCCCAGGCCAATGAGATGCCCGGGCCGCCCATTGACAGCCTGAATGATATACTCATAGGAATCTCAGCCTCCAGTACCTCTACCTCCTGGGACTCTCAGCCTCTACCTGTGCACTAGGTCCTACCGGAAGTTCATGCCTTTTGGTGGGAACATCATCGCGGTCTGCAATTCGCCTACATGGCATGAACCTAACCTGATATCTGCGTACATTCGGGCCCTGCACCATAACGACAAAATAACTCGGAAGCTACCAAACCTTTTTCTTGTTCTGCCCGGGCTACTTGAACAAAATCCTACCGGTTTCCTATCAATTCTACTTTTTCCCTTGTCCGCCCTAGGGTTGGATTTCCTCTGAAGTCCTTGGCGCATCCAATTTCATCCCTATCCCTGTAACTACATCCACTTACCGATCTCCCCTTCACGAGTTCCACCAAATAAGAGCACAGCAAAAGCTCGTAATTGACAATGCTGGAATAGTCTCATCATCATCAACGAAGAACCAATGTCGATATCCTATCTGGCGCTCGCCGCCCAGACTACAAATGGCAGATCCTATCTAGCCTATCGACAATGACGCTGATGATGTCAACATCTCCCCGAAGTACGAGCAGATCTCGGCCAATGCAGTACGCTTCAAGCACCAGGTATGTCTCTCGTCTCACTCACAACCTCGTTCCCCAACTCACAGATGCCACATGCACCCTAGAACCACCATGCGCCCCATCCAGCATACAGCAGCGCAGCTCGGCTATGGCTGCCTGCTCCTTCCAGCTCGCCCGTGAGCGCGTGAGCGCTGGCCAGCGTTAGCGCAGCAGCGCTTGCGCAGCATGCAGCCAGTGCCCGAATGTCCATTGCGTGAGCAGGCCCTTCCCTATTTCGAAGTGGCCTGCTGCTGCGTGCGCTAATGCGGTACTGGGCCTCGGCCCAGAAGCTTCGGGTAGGCCCCACGAGGCTGAGCCTCAGTCCAAAGGCAACAGGCCCAGGGCCTGTGGTGGTTACCAGCACCCAACTGCTCTCAGCCCTTGGCGTGGTTTGCTGTGAGGTGCCCAATGCATGCACCCGTCAGCCATAACAGCGCACTTGCACGGTGTGAAAAAGATGACCGAGGAGGGGGAGGCTAAGAGGGTAAGGAGAAACAGACAGAGGAGGGGGAGGCAGAGGGGGTAAGGAGAAACAGACAGAGGAAAGATGGGGCAAGCGCAGACAAAGAGAACATAACAAGTGGGGACAAGACATGACAGGGTACGGAAGGAGAAAGGAATAGTCAGGAGTCACTCCGTCCCTGCCGACATAGAGGACGTGAACAGTAGGGATGAGGTGGGCGACTATATGGAAGACCAAGCTGAGAATTCTCAGCACAGCAGTGACGCAGTCACCACGACATCTGGCATTACTACGCACACATACCATTCACGGCAAAGGGCATGTCGGCTGCAGCCCAGAATCAAAGAAGAACGGGCACACACACACACACACACACACACACACACACACACACACAGAGAGA